AGTCCTTTCCCATATGGCGCGTTTGATGGCGGGTTTCCACTATTGCGGTTTTTGGGCATCACCTCGAGGCTGCAAGGGAGCATGCCTTTCCAGCTCTATTAGTTGGTCGCGGATTATCCCCCATCGTTAATCGACGAACGCTTCTGTTTCCTGCTCTGGCTTGAGCATCTCGCTTCAAGTCCTCTACATTCATTCGGCTGAAATTGCGGCTCAACGTGAGGGGTGGCTTTTCCTTCGCAATGCATGTTTCTAGCAGCAGTACATTGTGATCACTTTAACCGAGAGGAACCTCCTGTCTTAGGTAGCTGATCTCACTCTCTTGCCGAGTGAGGACCAGATCCAAGGTAGATGGTCTGTGCCCTAACGGGACGCGCGTTGGTTCTCTCACGTGTTGATAGAGTGAAGCCGCATGGAAACAGTTCATGAATCCCTGTTCTGCGTGACTATCACCATCGTCTTTTTACTGCCATTCTATTCCGGGTAGATTTAAATACCCCACAATAATCAGCGAGTGCTTTCCTCTGCCGACTATGGTAATGAGATATATTAGCGCTCGGTCACCCTCCGGTCTGAGGTTTGGTGATCTGTAGACACCTAATATGCAAATGTGTCGCCTCTTTCCATCAAACTGCTTCAGGGAAGGTAGAAGCCCAACAGTCATCTAATGCCCTCTTGAAGGCAATGACGTTCGAGCAACTTACCACCTTTTCTGGCAGACTATTCCAGTAAGGTATTACGCGACTTGAGAAGAACTTGGCTCGAATGTCCAGTCTTACAAGACTACGTTGTAGCCTTAAACTATGTCCCCTAGTGCCACTTGAGGGGCTGAACTGAAACATGTCCTCGAACTTAAGTCCGGAGAGCCCGTTGATGATCTTAAATACTTCTATTAGGTCCCCCCTTACTCTCTTTCTTGCAAGAGAGAATAAGTTAAGGTCCTTGAGTCTCTGCACGTAGCTCTTACCCCATTGTCCCACCATCATTCTTGTAGCCAGACGTTGCACCCTTTCTAGACATTCGATGTCTTTCCGAAGGTAGGGTGCCCACGCCTGAACACAATACTCCACGTGAGGCCTAACTATGGCTTTCTATAGAGGGACGAGAACCTCGGGTCTCCTACACGTAATCGTGGAGTGTACACGAAAGAGTTCCCTTCGAGCTATGCTGGCTGCCCTCAAGTCAGTTCAGTTCAGTCAGTCAGTTCAGTTCAGTTCAGTTCAGTTCAGTTCAGTTCAGTTCAGTTCAGTTCAGTTCAGT